GTGATGTGTGGGGGTGGGGTTTGTGTTTGAGGGTGGGGGTCGGGGGTGGGGTTGTGTGGGTAGGTGTGTGGGGGGGGGTGAAGGTGTGTGTGGGTGTGGCATTTGTGTGTAATATGTGGGTGTGGCGTTCGTGGGTGAGTAATATGTGGGAGTGGGGTTCCTGTATGTTTACGTGTGTGTGTTTGTATGTGTGTGGGGAGGAGGGGGCTATTGTTAGGTATTTATAGGTTTGTATGTCTGAGTGAAAGAATAGCGTTTAGATTTTCAATTTGAAGTTTAAGTTATTTTCCCTTATTGTTAGATTTACATTCTAAGTCCTTTTAAAACAAACTATATATTCCTGTCAACTAAAAAACATTCCAACAAGCTTGTAGGAGACAATGCCTTCTCTTTCCCTTACAGTGTCAAGGTCAGCTGATACCGACGACCTCTGGCATGACACGGGAGCAGATCAGACCACGCCCCTTGACCTGCTCCCTCGCCAGTATCGCCTCCACCCCCGGGCCTTGAACCCGATGCGAAATCTCGAAAGGGTTTGTCAAGGAACTGTTATTTGTTATCAAGTGTTGATAAGTCTCTGAAATTTTAATGTGAATCCACGGATTAAAGCGTTCTGCTACAAGGCCAGTGGATTTTTCTATCATTACCGCGAATATCTGATGAAATTAAGTGTCTACAAGTAACTATTCTTCTGTAATATTCGTGATCCTATGCTGAATAGCCTTATTTTCAGTTCTCATATTGTATACTGACGCATACTACAGTTAAAACTACCATTTCAAATATAATATCACTGGTATGTAATCTTACCTTGAGATATATAAAAATATAATATAACGATCGCATGCTCACTATATAACTGCGAAGTAGATGATTCCATCGTTGCAACGTAGTACTAGATAGTATATGCACAACGCATTGACTCTAGTACACGAAAGGATTCCTGCCATCCCACAGGACCTGAAGCACATCCTGGTGAGCCCCGAAGCCGCGCACGCCCTCGTCAAGACATCCGGGAGTCGCGCGAAGAGATCCTACAACGTGCAGGACGAGTGCTGTAACCACGTGAGCCAGCGGACGTGTGTGGCGGAGGAGATTCTGGAGTATTGCGAGGACCCGGTACCTTAGTCTCCCCTGGCGACTGCCGTCATTTACGATGTTCTCTCGTCATTACTTTTTTCGCTAATGCTTACAGATATATCGTATATGCATAGCGCATTCTGATAACACATATGTATGTCTTATATGTGTATAATGTGTGTTAAAACAAATTCACGGATTTACCTCCGTATTCTCTCACCGCTGTTTCACAGGGTAGAAATAGCGGTAGTAATTTACTCGCATACACATTAGTAAATCTTGTTTTCTTCTCGTGTGGATTTTGATCTATATTCTTCTTCATATACCATTTCTATGTGTGAGAGTAAATAGCTATCTCTCGAAAGCAGGCAAATCAGTTATTAACATTTCACCCCTTCTGTTTCCCCAGTACTTCTAAACCTTGAACCTGACCTGACCTATGGCCTTCCTAACCTCTCTAAGTGGAGTCGTCAGTGGTCCATGGCCCACCCAACCTCCTTACAACAGCCTTCGGTGACCTGATCATATGGCCTCTCCATCCTCTCCACTGAATCTCAATGACCTGACGGGTCCCCCCCTCTTTTGGCCATGTCTTTGCTGACCTGACCCAACCCGAGACTTCTCTAACCTTTCTTTGACGAGTCCGTAATAAAAATAATCTGCCTGGTAACCTAAGTTCTCTTGAATTTGACCTTATCCGCAGTAGTAACCTGTTAGAGTCCTTTCAATAATGTCTGCCAAAAGTAACGGTACGTTCCATTTTACTTTTCAGATATTAGCCCCTAAAGTAATTCGTGACCTCAACTTTCTCAAAAAAATATGTATATTCAAAGCAAAAGCTAATTTTATTCATGGTCTGTAAATTTCTTTGGTGTTATATTTTTTCCTCTATCCTCTTATCTAAAGAAATGGATAAAAAGTAATCCTGCATTAATAAAGGTACGATACAAAGGCATAAAAGACATCAAAGTTCAGTACTTCCGTTTTCTTTTTCTCTCTCTCTCTATTTTTTTCCTGGACGTTTTAAACTTTCTAACTTTCATCCCGTTGTAAAAAAAAGTTGACAGACGATAATAAAAAAACAACAGTGTTTTAGAATATATTTTTTGTGATCACCTGAATGTCTTTTATATATATATTATCGTATTGGAATCAGATAGATCTGTACGGCATATCAGAATTAATTCGTAATAAAAAAACGCATTTCAAAAACCGAATTCCCGATAAAAAAATTTCACCTGTATCTGTCTTTTGCGAAACAATAAAAGCATTCCAAAATCGAGAAATATGAATCCTTTGCCTCCAACTGAAAGATATTGTGTTGACAATGACTTCCTGTGTAAATATTCAATGTTTGCTTCCACTCGTCGGATCATTGCGCAGGAGGAGAAGGAAGAATAGGAGGAAGGGTAAAAAAGGA